TGGAAAGGTTGTTGAATGAAGCCCCAACTCTGCTGCAGTTGCACAAGTGGGAACCTTCTCAATTGCAACTCAAGCTATCAGAATTTCGTGAGGCTTTTATTTCTCCGTCGAGGCAGAAGTTGTTATTACTCTCGCATCACTCTGAAGCTTTACTGCTTCCTCTGATTACAGGTAATAACTTGTTTGTTCTTATTCATATGAGTATGCGTATGCGTTTCGATTTTTATTAACAGTGTTCAATTTTTGTGTGTGCCTGTTATCAGGCAGTGAGGTTTCGGAAAGCTGTCGTAATGAAGAGTCGAATAGTCCTACATGCTCTCCGTCCGCTTCAACTGGTGGGTCAGACCGAGAGAATATTGCATCTCCTTCTGGATCAGGAGTTGGTTCTGGTGTAGATAATTGCAGTTCTAGTTGCAATAGTTTTCCTTTTATTTTTGATGCAAAGTCTGTTACTTGGGGTACTTGTGGGGATACCTACAATCGGCATAAAGATCCTTTGTTTAGGGAATTGTTGTTTGTATCTGGAAATCATGGTGTTACGGTCCATGCTTTTTGCCGTTTCAAAGATTCAAGTGACAGAGCCAAAGACAAACCAAATGGTGAGCTGAGGCATGGGAAGTGGGTTGAATGGGGACCTTCTAGGCTAAATCAGAAATCAGAACACGAACGAGTCTCTTCTTTTGATGGTTCAAAGCAGTGGATGCAATCTTTTTTAGTTGATGTGGAAACCACTGAGATCGAGGGTATAAGACAGTCAAGGTTCCCTGAGAAGTCAGTGTTTCCTGGTTCTGCAGAGGTTGTTTCATTCAGCATATTTGATGGTGATTTACCTTTCTCGAATCTTCTTGTCCAAGACAATTCCATACTTCAGAAGGGTAATATGCCTGAGGAAGGGAATGTCGACAGTTTTCTCATAGCTTCAGATGAAAAATCTCGAGCTGATATACCAATAGAAAATGCCAATGTAAACAGTTTGTACAGGTGCACCAAAGTTTTCTCCAGCGATTCACATTTTCTTATCGGGTTTCTTATGGAGTTATCTAAACTTACAAGCAATGAAAATGAAAGAAGCAACGGTAAGAGCGTTATCTTTGTTGCCCAGCTGTTTAGCTGGGGGATGGAATGGGTTTCCCTTGTGAAGTTTGGGGAATCGAGTATTGGACCTACAATCGAGTGGGCAGATTTCCGGCTATCTGATAAATTTGTTATCTGCCTCAGTGTTTCTGGTCTAATCTTTCTATATGATGTGAAATCTGGGGATTGTTTTGCTCATCAGGATATTTTACAGACATGTGGTCGTGGATTGCATTCTTCATCTGATATGCAAGAAGCAACTGCAGAGTCTGATCAACGAAGTGATTGTCAAAGTCTTGCTCCATCCATGCCTGAGTCTCACATTGTTGGTTCAGCAGACAGAAGAAAGTTTAGAAAGCTTATTGTGGCTTCTCATACATCACTCATAGCTGCAGTTGACGAAAATGGTTTGGTATATGTGTTATCTGTTGATGACTTTGTTTCCAAGGAATACCACATGTCAGTGGAATCTATTCCTTATTTACGTCATTTTGGGCTTGGAACTCTGGTTGGGTGGAAAATCGGTGGCATGGACATTGGGCAGCAAAAAGTGCACCACCCTAACTGCTCTGGCTCTCGAGGCGAAGATGCTTTATCCAGGTGTGATCTTGGCTTTGCTGGTTCTGATATTTTAATGTCTGATCCATGTTTGGAAAGACAACATAGCAATTTTGATCGAAGAGCTGGTTACTCTGGTTCATGGCTGAGTGGTTTTTCTGGTCAGCCTAAAACAAATGTTCTGAGGCGTGAAAACTTCCAAAGAGACTCCCATGTCACACGGAAGACGTTTCTATCCACCGAAAAATTAGGATTGGATGATAGTATATGTTTTTCTCCATTGGGATTCATTCATTTCTCTAGAAAGCACACCAAAAAGGAAGATCAAAGTTGTAAGATTTTTCATTATAGTCTGCAGACGCATATAACTGCAAGAGATGATAGTTATTTGAATTACGATGACAACAAGATTTCTATTCAAGGCGCGAAAGAAATTTTCACAGGAGAATCAGTTGGTTGCTCTTTCCAAGGATTTCTTTATTTGGTGACTTGTAGTGGTCTTTCAGTTTTTCTCCCTTCCATCTCAATAACCTTGAATTACCCAACTGTTGAGGCCATTGAATATCTGCAACCACCCCAAACCACTGTCGTGGGATGCCAGGGAAGAGGCGATTTGAGAACAGGGGAATTACGTTTTCCTTGGCAAGTTGAGGTCATAGATAGAGTTATCTTGTTTGAAGGCCCTGAAGCTGCAGATCGTTTGTGCTTGGAAAATGGTAAGTAACATTACTCGCTTCATGAACTACAAACGTTGGTAAATAACCTTGCTGCTTCCTTAAGGCTTTTGATTGCATAGACATATTGTCCAGTTTGTATATAGATTGCTATCTATCTCTTAACCAACGTGGCTTGTCATGCTAAAGGTTAAGTTGCAAAAAGTTGAAAAGTAGTAAACTATGTCATGCAGTTAGTTTGATACGTTAATGCATCTCGAAGCTAGAATGGAAACGAACTTAACTGTACCTGAGTGCCTGGCAACTGATTACATAATGAAATCATGTTGGTGCTTGCAATTTATTTTTATTTCAAAAGTCCTCAGCTGTTTGTGAGCAAGTCAATGCTTGTATTGCAGTAGCTTAGAGAATTTGTTCTCTCCCGTTTCTTCACATTTACATTATGATTTCCGTATATCCCCTTGTTGTAACAGCATAACCCCACATACTGAGACTTGAAGATGGTCTATACTTTATAGATCTGCTGACACGTAAGTTTTGTTCAATAAGCTTATGGTATGTTAAATGAATCACTTCTCTCATAGGTTGGGACCCAAAAATTGCTCGTTTACGCCGACTGCAAATGGCGTTGGACTACTTAAAATATGATGACATCAACGAGTAAGTTGCTAGTAATTCTTTTTGTGCTGTATTTCTTTCCCCAGTCTGAGAACCGTAGTTCACCATAGTAAAAAGTGGCTTTCCCTAAACAACAAATTCTAAAAAAGAATTATGTGTGGTTGTGTTAGTTGGGCTGACCATATTTATTTTTGTGTTATGGTTTCTATTGAAGGATGTGACTACTTTAGATAAGAAAGATTGCTTGTTAAAAATTTGTATACAAGTATATGATTACTATTTCGTTCTGAATTCTGCCAGACTGTTTTATTTATAAAAGTAAATATTTTATTGTTTTAACTTGGTTTTTCTCCTCCTCTCATCTGCATATTTAATCCGAAGTTTTATGCCATCATTGCGATTTGTCTTGTATCATGAATTGATTTTGATTAACCTCTCCTGTATGAGTAGGTCTTTGGAGATGCTTGGTAATGTGAACCTGGCAGAAGAAGGCATGCTAAGGGTTCTCTTTTCTGCTGTGTATCTGTTGTCGCGCAAGAATAGAAACGATAATGAGATTTCTGCTGTATCTAGGTGAGGATCTTCTGAGGTGGTAAATGGTAGTTTTGTTTTCCAGTTCTTAACTTCAATGAGGTGGATCAACAATTAATCAATAGTAGTGTTCTCCCTGCTTGGTAGATATATCGTTACTTATTTTAGGTCTATTACTATGCTTAATACGTAGACCTTCATGGTTGTAAGTCAAATAAAATGTTCATACTTGTTAGGGGCCTTTTTTTTCTGTTTTTATTAGAAGCCATGTTTTAGCGACATCATTATCTTGTGAGGTTTAGTAATGCCATTAGCTGTATTGACTGGGCTGCTTTCATGTTGAATGTAGGCTCCTTGCATTGGCTGCAAGGTTTGCGACTGAGATGATTCGCATATATGGGTTACTTGAATATCAGAAAGATGGATACATGTTGGACAGCAAACCTAAGACACAAATACTTTCACTTCCGCCAATTTCACTGCATAGCGATGTAATTGAAAATTCAAGGAGGTTGTCAGAGATGGGTTATCTTTTGGAGATCACCCGGAACTTTCAGTCCCGTATTTCCAGAAAATTTAAGAAGCTAGGAAAGGTATATATGGTATTAATAATATAAGTTAATTGTAGATCTTCTGTTTTTGCTCTAGAATTTGACACATGACATGTGTGTTGTACAGGGAAAGAATGAGAAGTCGTTGAACCTGGTAGACCCAAATTCTTTGCAGGATGATTCTCAGCTTGAAGTTGTTCCAGACGCAGCATCTGCGGAGTCAAGACAAGTTGACACATATACATTCGATACCGATGAGGAGCTTGCTTTGACGCCTATGGGTATGATGACAGCCAAAGCTGGTCAGCTCATTGACGAAATAAATAGGGTACCCCAAGGGGTAGTTGCAGAGAAGAAAGTTCTTCCTCTTGAAAATCCCAAGGAGATGATGGCTCGTTGGAAGACTAATAATTTGGATTTGAAAACGGTGGTTAAGGATGCCTTGCTCTCCGGTAGACTCCCTTTAGCTGTTCTTCAATTGCATCTTCAACATTCTAAAGACGTGGTTGAAAATGGAGAGCATCATGATACATTTACTGAAGTTCGTGATATTGGAAGAGCTATTGCTTATGACCTATTTATGAAGGTAAGCCTGAATATACTTGCTTAGACAGAGTAGTGTACGTGTATGATGTCTAGCACTTGGCTTTCTTGATGTGTAGGGCGAACCTGGGGTTGCCATTGCAACTCTACAAAGGCTCGGAGAGGATGTTGAAGCGTGTCTCAATCAGTTGGTATTTGGCACAGTGAGGAGATCTCTTCGATATCAAATTGCTGAAGAAATGAGAAAACATGGTTTCTTAAGACCATATGAAGACAATGTGCTGGAGAGAATATCTCTTATCGAGGTATAACATTTTCTAATCATTACTTGTTCAGAGGGGTATCTTGGTTCTGTATGACACTGACTTCATTTCAACTTCTTCCTTGATTGACCCTGTGACAAAAAAGAGGCTGTATCCTAGCAGCCACTTTTGGGAAACATATCTTGCTCGTCGAAAGGAACTCCTGAAAGCTACAGTACCTTTTGACTCCAGTAGAATTAGCTTGCACCTTGGGGGGTCGTCTTTGTTCCAGGATCTCGAGATTGAGTGTGGTGAGGTTGATGGTGTTGTTCTAGGTTCTTGGACAAAAATCAATGAGAGTGCATCTGAGCATGCACCTGATGAAACCGATGCAATTGCTGGCTACTGGGCTGCAGCAGCTGTGTGGTCAAATGCTTGGGATCAGAGAACATTTGATCATGTAAGAAGTTGGATATAATCATTTTTTTCTTGTTTCTCCTTAGATGTTTAAATATTCATCTAGATGTTTAAATATTCATCTAATTGCATCATTCCAGAATATTAGTACCTCCAGGTCCTGCGAAATTTCAAATTGATTTCAACCTACTCTGTATTTATAGCTTGAAACTGGACGGTTGAATTATTTGTTGATATGCATAGCGAACAGTGTTTGTAATCTTACACTGGTTCTTCACAGGATTTTGTTCAGTTGTTTACTTGTTTCACAAAGAGTGGGACAAATGCAGACAATAAGCCATCTGTGCTTGCTTCTCGAATAGATAGCCTCTGCTTATCTTTCCTCTTAACAAAAAGTTGGATGAAATTTTAGATCTGTAAATATGGTCGCTCTCTTTTCTAGATCTTATCTAATGGTGCTCTTTTAGTTTGGGTTGCATTTCATATCTTTTTACTTGAATTAGCACATTGTAGTGCATCAAATGGCTGCCACTGAAGATATTAGTCCTAGAAAAACCCTTGAAATGGAAGTCTTCAATTAGATTTCAGTTGTGAGAGTAACAATGATACATTTGAATGAAGGGTTAAAGACTTTACATATCAACATTGTGTTCTGTTATATTAATCCATGAACTCACTCATGCAAAGGTTGTTTTTCTTTGTTTCAAATAATGTCTGCATTATTTGGTTTTAGTAATATATCTTGTTGAACTTTTTTGCAGATAGTCTTGGATCAGCCTTTACTCATGGGTGTTCATGTTCCATGGGATTCCCAGCTGGAGTATTATATGTGTCACAATGATTGGGATGAAGTCCTTAAGCTGTTGGATGTCATTCCTGAGGATCTTTTATATGATGGAAGTTTACAAATTGCTTTGGATGGTCCAAAGCAGTCTTCTGGTGTAAATCATTCAGTTTCTTCCCGTAGCGAGTATATATGCTCCATCGAAGAAGTGGATGCTGTACTTATGGATGTTCCTTATATCAAGATATTTAGGTTGCCTGGAGATATCCGGTGCTCCATGTGGCTAACAACACTTATGGAGCAGGAACTTGCAAGAAACCTTATATTTTTTAAAGAATATTGGGAGAACGCTCTAGATGTAGTATATCTTCTGGCTCGGGCAAGTGTCATCCTTGGTAATTGCGAAGTTTCGTTTAAGGAGGAATCTTCTAGGCCATCCCTAGATCTTTGTTTGTCCAGAAAGGATCGAGGAGCAAATGTTGATACCCTGAATGCTGTACACAAGCTATTCATACATTATTGCACACAATATAATCTGCCAAACCTTCTGGATCTGTACCTTGATCATCACGAATTGGTCCTAGATAATAATTCACTCAGTTCATTGCAGGAAGCTGTTGTAAGTGTTTTCCACGTCCATCAAATATTTGTGTTAATATGTCTGTTCTTGCTACGCCTTTTGGGTTGTCTTTGAAAAATTCACTTTTTGCTGAGAATGCCAATAACCTGTCCAATGTATTCAGGGTGATTCTCACTGGGCAAAATGGTTGCTGCTCTCCAGGGTCAAGGGCCGGGAGTATGATGCTTCATTTTCAAACGCACGCTCAATTATGTCATGTGAGGCGACACCAAATGGTGAACTCAGTGTTCCAGATATTTATGAAATTGTTAGTACTGTTGATGATATTGCCGAAGGGGCAGGAGAAATGGCAGCTTTAGCAACTATGATGTGTGCTCCGGTGCCAATTCAAAATTCCTTGAGTACTGGCAGTGTGAACAGGCACAGTAACTCTTCTGCGCAGTGCACATTGGAAAATTTGAGATCATTTCTTCAGAGATTCCCCACCTTATGGAGTAATCTTGTTACTGCTTGTATTGGAGAAGATATTTCTGGTAACCTTTTGCGGACCAAGGCTAAGAATGGTAAAGCCTGATCCACCACACTTCTTCTTTTATTTTGTATAATGGTATCGAGGACATACTCTCACTGACTCTAGGATTTATCAGCGTTGTCAGAGTATCTGAATTGGCGTGACGGTGTATTCTTCTCAACCGCACGGGATACCTCACTCCTGCAGATGTTGGCTTGTTGGTTTCCTAAAGCGGTTCGTAGATTAGTTCAGCTTTATATCCAGGTATCCATTTCTGATTTGTATCCCGTACGTGCTCTTTTGAGTTGTACAACACTCTTTCAACTTTCTGGAATTGAAGGATCTAGTTGAACTCAATACCTGCATTGTAATCTGTGATATGATAAGAAATTGTGGGATGGTTGTGAGGAACTGTGTAGACATATGCAAACCATTAGGGGGAAGTGACCACAAAGATTCTGGCCGGAAGGAAAATACACCAAATTAGTTCTACACCAACCACTATTTTACAAAAGAAATTTGAGGCACTATACCAGATGTGGTAGAATGGCTTGCTTGTTGTTGGTTCTCTTAATCTTGGTGACGTTGAATTGACCAGTAGAGGGTCTGATAGCCATTGATATGGCATCCTTCGTTGGTTCATTATAGAAGATAAATAGCTGTTAATAACGTTTTTCGTACCTCTTATTAATGTTAGAAAATTATCTGCTCCAGGGAATTTATGAGTACATATATGTTTTCTTAAAATGTTTTCGCGCAGTCTTTTTATTAGAAAGTTTTCTTCGTAGGGACCTCTTGGATGGCTGTCTCTCTCAGGATATCCTACAGGGGAATATCTACTGCACAGAGGTGTTGAGTTCTTTATAAATGTGGACGATTCGACTGAGATAAGTGCCATATCTTGGGAAGCAATCATCCACAAGCACATCGAAGAGGAACTTCATCACAAAAAAACTGAGGTGGCACTATCATATTCCTATTTCTTTAACGTGATGCTACCTTTGTGGATTCTGTAACTGTTCAGTTGTTAAATAGTTTCTTATCGATTAAATGTCATGTCAATGTCTCGTTTTCGAAATTATCTGGATGAATCGTCCACATTTATAAAGATGTTGTCATCTCATGCTCACGCAATCACTGAGCTTTGTATATTCACTGACTGATATAGTTTATACAATAGTTACTTATGTTTAACTTGAATTGAAACTAGGGAACTGAGCTTGGACTTGACCACTTCCTGCACCGTGGACGGCCACTCGCAGCTTTTAATGCTTTCCTTGAACATAGAGTTGAAAAGCTGAAGCTGGAAGATCAGTCTGGCTCTTCTATACACGGACAAAGAAATATGCAGTCAGATGTTCCGATCCTACTTACACCTCTGACACAGAATGATGAGTCACTTCTTTCATCTGTACGTGCTGTTCACCTTACCATTATTAGCTTATTTTATATTCTGCAACGCTTTTATTGGTTTTTTTTCTTTTCTTTCCCATTGCTGTCTATTTATGCTGCATGACTGTTTTTTTTGCCCTTCAGGTCATACCACTTGCTATCACACATTTTGAGGATTCTGTGTTGGTGGCTTCGTGTGCTTTCCTTCTTGAGCTTTGTGGTTTGTCTGCCAGCATGCTTCGGATAGACGTGGCATCCTTGAGAAGGATATCATCCTTGTATAAGTCAAATGATAGCGCGGATATGGCAAGACAAAAATCACTTAAGGGTTCTATGTTTCATGCGGTATCTAGTGACGGTGATCTAATGGGGTCACTAGCTAGGGCCCTTGCTAACGAATATGCTTATCCTGATATTTCAAGTGTCTCTAAGCAAAAACGTACTCCAAACAGTATTTCTGGTACTCAACCCAGTCTTCCGCTAATGCTTGTTCTTCATCATCTGGAACAAGCTAGTCTTCCAGAGATCGGAGTAGATAGAAAAACAAGTGGATACTGGCTGTTTACAGGAGATGGTGATGGGTCTGAACTGCGGTCTCAGCAGACATCTGCTAGCTTGCATTGGAGTTTAGTTACTCTTTTCTGTCAGATGCATAAGATTCCTCTGAGCACGAAATACCTTGCCATGCTAGCAAGAGACAATGATTGGGTATGGTTCATGATTATTCTCCTGACCTTTTCGTCTCGTATCCTTGAGCTATTCTCTTACCTGATGTATGTAAATATCAGGTTGGATTCTTATCTGAGGCGCAGCTTGGAGGATACCCATTTGATACGGTGCTCAGTGTGGTATGTCTCTCACCCTTTCACTGGTTTCAGAAATCACAAACAGGAACTTACTATGCTATGTTACAAGTTTTTTGTTACAATTACATGACACATTTTCATCTGTCAGGCATCAAATGAGTTTGCTGATCAACGTTTAAAAGCTCACATACTGACCGTTTTGAGATATGCCAACACAAAAAAGAAAGCTACCATTTCGTACTCAGATGACACAAGCAGAGGTTTCACAAGTTCCTTTGCAGAGGATGGAGCTTATGTCTCTGCTGAACTCTTTCGCATTTTGGCTTACTCTGAGAAGCTAAAGAATCCTGGGGGCTACCTTTTATCGAAAGCTAAGGAGCTATCATGGTCTATTTTGGCTCTCATAGCATCATGCTTTCCAGATGTTGCTCCCATATCATGCCTAACAATTTGGTTGGAAATTACCGCAGCCAGGTATGACAAAATTTGATGACAGAAATTGAATTGGGTTGGGTGTAATGAAAAATCATCATATATCTTTGGTTCTCAGTTAATTTATGTGTAGTAGTTATTTGATTTACTATCTTAATGCATTTGAAGTCTATAACATTGAGCGTTTCAAACTTTTTTATGTTTTCTGCAATAAAAGGATGCATTAACTTTGTCTTGGCTCTAACAAAGACCATGCTTTTCAGGGAAACGTCGTCTATAAAGGTGAACGATATAACCACGAAAATAGCAGAAAATGTAGCAGCAGCCGTTCTATCTACAAATTCATTGCCAACGGATGCTAGAGGTGTCCAGGTTCATTACAATAGGAGGAATCCTAAACGAAGACGACTTATTGCACATTCATCCATGGATTCATGGGCTTCAGCTAATAGTTTAAGTACCTCTGCTGGTAAAACTTGTTCTCACAGAACAGAAGCTGCAGAAGATGAAAAAGCTGAAGATATCAGTGTTACTGATGATTCGCCCGATGAGCATGCGTCTCTTTTAAAAATGGTTGCAGTGCTTTGTGAACAACGCTTGTTTCTTCCTCTGCTAAAAGCTTTTGAATTGTTCCTCCCTTCCTGCTCTTTACTGCCATTTGTCCGTGCTCTTCAGGTTTGTCTTACATTTAATCCACTATCTGCTCTCGCTGTTTTTTTTCCCGGGCCCTTGGTTGTTTGTTTACAGTGACTTTTACACGATATATGTTCACGGGTCTGAAGCTGTTTTTATTCACCATGAATCCATCCACTTTCTTTTTTGCTGTTTTTCTGTGGGAGAAAACTGATTATGGAATTCTGCAAAAGTTATATGATTGGATGCGAGTCGGGAAAAGAAGATATGTTTGGATGTAAAATGCTTTGGGTTTACTACTGCCTCTTTTTGTAAAATGCTTAGTTTCTACTGCCTCTTTTTTTGTATTTTGTTTTCCAGGGTGTATGCAGATATCTACATAGGATTTTGACCTGTCTTAATTCTTTTTCTGCAGGCATTTTCTCAAATGCGCCTGTCTGAAGCTTCAGCACATCTGGGTTCTTTTTGGGCTAGAGTTAAAGATGAATCAATGCATTTTCAATCAAATACAGCCAAAGATGTCAATTTTGGGGCATCTTGGATCAGTAAAACAGCTGTTAAAGCTGCTGATGCTGTTTTGTCAACTTGTCCATCTCCATATGAGAAAAGATGCTTGCTGCAACTCCTTGCTGCTACTGATTTCGGTGATGGGGGATTTGCGGCAACATATTATCGACGTCTTTATTGGAAAGTTAATTTGGCTGAGCCAGCACTCAGTTGGGAGAATGATCTTGATTTAGGAAATGGGGCTCTGGACGATGGCGCTCTTCTGACAGCTTTAGAGAAGAACAGGCAGTGGGAGCAAGCAAGAAACTGGGCCAAGCAACTTGAAACCATTGGTGCCCCCTGGACATCCTCTGTTCATCATGTTACTGAAACACAGGTAAAAAAATTTCTTGGCACCTATCTTACTTGAAGTGCCAGAAAGTTTCGGGTCATTTGGAATCTGAAGGTCTAGCAACTTGTAAGATTATCATGGTCTGAGGCTATTGACCTGTTTAGCTATTTCTGGGTAATTTTCCCATGCTGTTTTCTCTGTTTCTAGCTATCGATTCTTCTTGCAGTGCATGGTGGTTATACACTGAAACATGAGAATTGCTTTTGTAGAGGTTGGATGAATCACAGATTGCAGTATTGTAGGAAAATGTGATTTTTATCTCAATATAACTTGAAAGAAATGCGATGTTAAGATTGCACAGCATGGTTCTACTCACTCAACACAGATTGCATAAGCTTTATTGGGTTGAAATGCTCCCTTAATTTGATTGCACAGCATTGTGTTTACATTTTCTTTTGTATTTGAAAATTAGCTGTTTTTCATTGGGCTGCTGGCTAGCTTTGTTCTGTACGCCACTGGTTCTAGTTATGTTTAGGGATTTCTTTAAATGCCCAATCTTAAAGTTGTATCTGCTTTACATATAGGCAGAATCCATGGTTGCAGAATGGAAAGAATTCCTTTGGGATGTTCCAGAAGAGAGAATCGCATTATGGGGTCACTGCCAAACTCTGTTCATCAGATACTCTTTCCCTGCTTTACAGGTTAGTTTTCAGGTTGCCTCACTTGTAACGATTTTATATGTGGAAGCCTGATATTCGTACAAGTAAGACTGTTGCTTATTCTTTTGCAGGCAGGTTTATTTTTCCTTAGGCACGCAGAAGCAGTGGAGAAAGATCTCCCTGCAAGAGAGATCTATGAGCTGTTACTGTTATCCCTTCAGTGGTTGAGTGGGCTAACAACCTTGTCGCACCCGTAAGTGATCTTGTACCATAATGTGTAATCAGTTTTACTGGGTTTATGACTTTGATTTCACCAATATCAGGGTTTATCCTTTGCATCTTCTGCGAGAAATCGAGACTAGAGTGTGGCTATTGGCTGTAGAAGCAGAAGCACATGTGAAAAACGTAGGAACATTTAGTCCGAGTAGTAATGGAAAAGACATGGCAAATGGAAATAGTTCAAATCTTATAGACCGAACTGCAAGTATCATAACAAAAATAGACAGCCATATTTCTTCAGCAACAAAAAACAAAATTGGAGAAAAGCATGACTCGAGGGCCCCTGGCCAAGCACATCAAAGGAACCAAGACACAAGCACTTCAATATTTGGTGCCAGTACAAAGCCCAAGAGGAGAGCAAAAGGAAATGTCCCACAAAGAAGACATTTTGTGGATTCTTCAGATAGGAATACTGATTTTGAAGATTCTTCATCTCGTCAAAACATCAAAAGCGAGTTCCAGCTTCAAGAGGAAAGCACGGGTTTGGAGATATCCTTATCGAAGTGGGAAGAAAGTATAGAACCTGCGGAGTTGGAAAGAGCTGTTCTGTCTTTACTGGAGTTTGGACAAGTGACAGCCGCAAAGCAGCTCCAACTTAAGCTTGCTCCAGGAAATATACCTTCTGAGCTGATAATCCTGGATGCTGTTATGAAGCTAGCAATCCTTTCTACGCCGTGCAGTCAAGTACCATTGTCAATGTTGGATGATGAAGTTCGTTCTGTCATTCAATCACACAGTCTAAAAATAGACAAACCTATGATTGAACCGCTGCAGGTTGTTCTCTCAATATCTTTCCCACCTAAATTTTCATTTGTTGTTGCGAAGCCTATTACATATTCATTGAAACGAATACCACTTTTTCTTGTTATAAATTTAACTTAATTTCTTTCTTGGATTTAATATTGATTGGTATCTGATGCTCTAGGTTTTGGAGAGTCTATCGAACATTTTAAATGAAGGCAGTGGACGTGGGCTGGCAAGAAAAATCATCGCAGTTATAAAAGCTGCTAACATACTGGGCCTTACATTCACCGAGGCATATCAAAAACAGCCAATAGAATTGTTACGATTGCTTTCTCTTAAAGCACAAGATTCCTTTGAGGAAGCATGTCTCCTTGTCCAAACACATTCCATGCCCGCTGCTAGTATTGCTCAGATACTTGCAGAATCCTTTTTAAAGGTAACTTAGCTAAGCTATCTTTGTTAACTTGTATGCGCATATGCCACAATTCATGTATGCGCATATGCCACAATTCATGGTCACTTTTGAATTTTGACTTCATTTTCAACTACTTGAGAAATTCTCATGTAATTTTCTTCTTTCCCTCCCAACTCTTTCTCTAGGTTCTTTTGTGTATTGACTCTAATCTGTTTTCCATGTTTCAGGGTTTACTGGCAGCTCATCGTGGAGGATATATAGATTCTCAAAAGGAGGAAGGCCCTGCTCCGCTTTTGTGGAGATTTTCAGACTTTTTGAAGTGGGCGGAGCTTTGTCCATCTGAACAAGAAATTGGTCATGCCTTAATGCGTCTTGTGATTACTGGGCAGGAAATACCACACGCGTGTGAGGTATGTGATTTTGTGAAAGCTTATTAACGATATTGTCTGATTGCTGCATGAATTTCTAAAAAGAAGAGCGAATAAGTTGTCAATGCTGATTTGTAATATTAATGTCAGGTTGAGCTACTTATTCTGTCTCATCACTTCTACAAGTCATCCACGTGCCTTGATGGAGTTGATGTTCTTGTGGCACTTGCTGCCACTAGGGTCGAGGCTTATGTTGCCGAGGGCGATTTCTCATGCCTGGGTCGTCTAATAACTGGAGTCGGAAACTTTCGTGCTCTTAATTTCATTCTCAATATTCTAATCGAAAATGGGCAACTCGATCTTTTACTACAAAAATTTTCTGCTGCTGCTGATGCAAACACTGGCACTGCCCAGGCTGTCAGAAGTTTCCGGATGGCTGTTCTGACCTCGTTGAATCTCTTTAACCCAAGTGACCATGATGCATTTGCAATGGTATGTGTTTAGTAACTGGAATCAGCCAAGTAAAAGAGTTCATTTCATCATGTTTTGTCTCTTACCACAATTCGCTATCATTATTGCTGATTTCATGAGACATGCGTTGTTTGCAGGTATATAAACACTTTGACATGAAGCATGAAACGGCTGCTTTGCTAGAGGCACGTGCAGATCAGGCTGCACAGCAGTGGTTTCAACGGTACGACAAGGATCGTAATGAAGATCTCCTTGATTCCATGCGCTATTACATTGAAGCTGCTGAAGTTCACACTTCAATTGATGCTGGAAACAAAGCACGAAAGGCTTGTGGTCAGGCTTCACTTGTCTCCCTTCAAATAAGAATGCCAGATTCCAAGTGGCTCTGTTTATCTGAAACAAACGCCAGAAGAGCACTTGTTGATCAATCACTTGTTGTTTCCAGGAGGCTCTGATTGTAGCAGAAGCTTATGGTCTTAACCAGCCAAGCGAATGGGCGCTTGTACTTTGGAATCTAATGCTCAAACCCGAACTAGCGGAAGAGTTTGTGGCTGAATTTGTAGCGGTGCTTCCTCTCCAGGCTTCAATGCTTCTGGAACTGGCTAGATTCTACAGAGCAGAAATGGCAGCTCGAGGCGACCAATCTCAATTCTCAGTCTGGCTCACAGGAGGAGGTTTACCAGCTGAGTGGGCCAAATACATGTGGAGATCATTCAGGTGTTTGTTGAAGAGAACACGGGACTTGAGGTTACGGTTACAGCTTGCTACAACAGCGACAGGATTCTCTGACATGGTCGATGCRTGTATGAATGCGTTGGATAAGGTCCCGGAAAATGCCGGACCACTTGTACTCAAGAAAGGACATGGAGGAGGATACTTACCACTCATGTGAGACTCAAAGATCACCCCAAAGGATGCAATGGTAAGTATCTCTCTCTGCTTCATCGTTGTGAGAGCTCGATGRGGCTGTAAATTAGCCGGAGAAATTGGAAAAGGGTTTTTTTGATGTTTTGGAAGAGAGACAAACTGAAATCTTTTATAGGGTTATAGTGTTTTTGTGTGTTTATGTTTGTTGATGGCTCTCACAATTCTTTCTATTTTTGTTTCTATTTTTGTCCCGGCAACTAAATGGCAGTCTTTGAGAGATATAGAGAGTTATGTACAGTGTAATAACTGTCTTTGATGTAAGTTGTCATATAATTGTATTGTTGAATAATTTCGAAGCTTTATTGTCTGTTGATATGCTTTGAATGGATATTTCATAGTTTTGAAGATAAGATATAATGAAATTTGGATTGAACAGTATCTACAATAACCAACAAAGAAGCTCTAATTTTAAAAATGTCTGATATACTTTCTAATTTCAGGAAGTTATATGAATATGTATCTGGAAGTGGTCACTTTTTTTTTGTTTTAATGAAAGTTGAATTGACCATTTGTACTTCACAAACTCTGATTACAAGGGGTTGAATGTGGATAAATCATTATCCACATTTCAATGATTCATTTTCTTGTCCCCAAGAATCTGCTGCCAAAAACTTATTCCTCTTTCGACTCTTTGATCGTCTTGGGGCGTCTCTGCGCGAGTGTTCTCTTTGTGCTCTCGAGGACACCAAAGATGATTGAATCTCCAATACCAATCCACAACACTCTTGGTCCAATACCCTACAAGTAAAATATCGTGTAAGAGGTCGCGTTTTCCTACTCTTAAAGCGGCTCAATTTAGAATAGAGTTTTTGAGGAAAGATTTTCGAAGAACTCTCCTCGAAACTTTATCGTTTGTGTGTGTACCTTTAAAAGAGCAGGAGCTCCTTCCTCTCTGACAATTGTTTGAACACAGTTAATGATTCCTTGATATTGTTTGGCTGCATGATCCCTGAAAATGGTCAAGGAAGACCAATAAGATGATTGGATTTGGAGACGCCTATTTTACCAAAAGGTGTGAAAAACACTTGTATTACCTGAACCATTAATCTTGTCTTGATAACATCAAGCGGAGTGGTGACTGCTCCAGTCAGAGCACCTGTATAAACCATCGCGATACAAAGCACCGATCAATAAGTAATGCTAGTTACATCACTCACACACTATGAGTAACCAGTTTTTATGTAATAACTCCATTGTACTTTATAACTTTAAGGTATATGCGGACCAGGGTCTCCAATTTCAGTGACTAAAATCTCAGGTTTGATTAATGATCCAGATATTTTATATTTAAAGCATACAAGGTATGTCACTAACCAGCAAATGCACCGATTAAAGCATTCTCAGGATCACTAAGCTCTCTACGTGCCTACCAAAAAGTTGAGCAAAGTTAGTCTCATGCATGCAAAATATCAGTTCATCAGAAGTTAAAAGAAATGTCAATTATTTTGCCAAGAAGCTTGCTGCTTTTTTATACCCCAAGCATAGCTGCTCATATATGCAGAACTGAATAGCATCAAACGCCAAATCTCGCAATAGGAACGATCTATAGCCCTAGAAGCAGTTGAAATAACTTACCACACGAAAATTCAACAAACAGTGCAGACTAAAAGGAAGAGCTTTAAAAGGTGTTACTAACTGCATAGAGACCCCTAAATCCCTCTTTTGATGCAATAAGTCGAACAGCGTTGGGGGCTGATGTAAACTGTCCAGTCTGCATTCTTTGCTTCACAACCTAAAGAATACACAAATGCAAATCTCGGTTAAGGAATTCAATGTAGAACATGATCTGGATTGTGATATCCAGGAGAGAGTTTTTACCTCTGTAGGCACTCGAATCAGAGAGGCAGCAAGTCCACCGATGGCCCCTGCAGTCTATGGAATTTGAAATATAAGGCGTATGCGAGAAAGATCTGAAAAGTTATTGTCGTTTATCGTAAACATTCATTTACTGATATAATACTTTTTCAATGGCAAAACTAAAGATGAAGAAAAAATCTCACCAGGTGAGCAACTGCACTTAAATGATCAGGAAAGGTCTTCAGCAGTTTCTGCTTTGTGGGTTCATAAACMCCAATGAATAAAGCCGAAGCCCTACAAAGAAACATTGTCAAGAGTCAAAACAAGTTCAAAAATAGAAGAAATATAAACTGGACAAGGAAATAATTTTGTCGATACTATATATTTTCTTGTGTTCTGGCCATTGAGACTCTTTAACAAGAAATCAGAAAGAAAATCATCATCTATGGTAACTTCATCTGCCATCACCAATGCCAAATTGGCTAGACRGACAGTTCCGAATCAACAAAAAATAACTACGGATGAGCTCACAATCACTTACGATAAAACGCCAGCGATATTTCCAGCTAATCCTGAATARAGACCCTTCAAAACAATTTTCCCACCTCCACGAGCTGCCTACATCATAAGTTCAACATAATTTAGGAACCAAGTTCAAAACTTTTTTGTTTTTGTTGAGACCAAAGGATTACAGGAGCTAGTTCATACAGTTAAAAGCAAGTCTAACAAAGAAATCAAAAGAAATTTACTTCCTTGACCTGCCTGAAGTCTAGTCTTTATTGTATCRATCGGGTACAAAGCTGTTTCAACTACAACTCCAGCTGTACCTCCTGCTATAAATCCCTCTGCATCAATC